GTAACAGTTGCCATAATACAAATATTACATAGGTGATTATCCAAATTTTCACCGTCGATGGGATTTGAATACCCAACCTACCACTTGGAGAGTTGACAACCTGACCACTTCACTAGGTCTCCACATCCTTTGTTTTTATATGTTTAAAAAGTTTAGAATTTACAATAATGCTATTTAATTTCTCAATTGTCTGTAATCTTTATTATTTCTAGTTCTATAATCTCAATTACCTCTGGTTCAATAATCTTGATTTTCTCTGGTTTCATAATATTGATCACTTCTGGTTTCATAATATTAAGTACTTCTGATGTCTGGTCTCATTTAAAATTGGCATATCTTTTCTTCTTTTGTGTCTCATTTATTTTGAATATTGGGTTGTAGTTTATATTAAATATATTTAATAGTAGGTTGTTGTCTATATTGAACATAGTGAATAGTAGGTTGTCATATATATTAAATATTGAGTTGTTTAAATTTTTTTATCTTTGATAAGTAATGCCTAGATAGCATTTTAAATTTATTGAATTAAAAAAAAAAAAGCTTAAGCAAACATTGTTTAATTATATAATAAAGAATTAGCAAATCCAAATATTAATGTTTTTTATGAGATACTAACTTTAAAATTAATTGCATTTGTATGTATCATCAATTATAATAAATGCATAATTTGAAAAGATCATCAAAATTGATAAATTTTAATTAACAATAATCATAAACAAATATTTTTTTTTTAATAAAAATAATTATTAATGTTAAATTTGTGTGATTGCAGAAATTTTTTATTGCTTAAACAATAAAAAATTTCCAAAATCGTATAAATCTAAATAATTACTCATAGTGAAATACCCTTTGTTTAAGAGTATAACAAAAATAGTAATCATGCTTTAATGTATATGCATACAAACATAAATATTATCAAAATAGTTAGCGATTTTGTTTAAAAGACCATGATGTATGTATATATATACATATCATCCTAGGTTTATTAAAGATGAACACAATAATGATGATTGCTTTTGTCATTATAAAGATGAGTATTAAACTCAAAAAGGAAATTAAAACAAAAAGTACTATTATATAAATTTTTCTTTTTAATTATAACTTTTATTTTACTGCTTTTTGTATAATATTGCATAAAACTAGGCAATTATATATGCATAATTCTGATTTTACAAAAATCAATAATCTAATTTGAAAGGTTATTTTATAATTATAAAATTATTTATAGGTTTTTTTTATTATATCTTTTTAGTAATGAATTTATGCAATTAAAAACAAAAACTGTCATTATCAAGTGTCTTATAAAGCTAAATTCGATATACAGTAAATGCTTTTGTCATTTTTTTATATCCAATAAAAATACTATTTTAAAATGATATAAAATTAAACATCTTGAATCTTGGCATCTTAGTAAAACTGTCTATTTTTTTTTATCTATTGAATGAATATTTTCTATTAAGAACTAACCTTGTACCAACTTATTTGTTAATATCTTTAAAAAAAAATGCCAATAAAATTTATTAAAAAAAACAAAATTAAAAAAAATATAAAAAATGTGAAAAAAACAAAACTCTTCTCAAAAGATCATTGTGTTGTAATTGAAGCTGCCTTTAAAGAACTTGCAGATCTCACCAACTCTAATGTAAATTTAACTGCTTTACAGTTTGAAATTTTAGAAACAATGCTTAGGTGTGCTGTTAAAAATGGTTTGCCTAAATGTACTGAATCTAAAACAATCTTGAGTAAACATAAAGAAGAACAGCTAGTAGGTTATTGTAAAAACATACAAAGGTTAGAATTTGGATTGACAAAATCAGGTGTAAATCACTATGTGATAAAAATAGTTCGTAACAACTATTGTGCTCATCTTTTTGCAACTAAAGGGCCTGGCAGGGCTTGGTGGGACTGTTTTATGAAAGATTATTCAGACTTATCTTTTCAAACACTCCAAGCTCTGTCTGAAGCATATGCTCAAAGAGCAAATCCAATAATTATAAAAGATCATTTTAAAAAACTACAAAAAATAATCAAGAAACATTCGCTTACTGCAGAAAGCATTTGGAATATAGATGAGACAAAATTTGTTATTGCCCTTAAAGTTTAAAAGGTTCTTGCAACAAAAAGTTTGTATTAAAAATAGAAATTTTAATTAGTAATCAATCAGTAATAAATGTTGCTATTAATGCTAAAATATAAGGTTCTAATTAGAGATGCAAACATATTTACATAATAAAGTTATAATTAAATTATAATTAAGTTGTAATTAGGTTATAACTTAATTATCTTAAAATAGGTTATAATTAGGTATAACAATATATCTATAATTCTAGTTCTAATTAAAATTTTAAATACTAGTCTTAAAAAAAATGCATTCCAAAGACAACTAATTATCATGTAATTACTAATTTATAATCATCTAACTCTGTAAAAGATGCTCACCAAGTTTACAAAATCTTGTATAAAAACATACATAAGCATATCTTTGTTGCACCAACAATTTCTGTGGCAGGTGTTTGTATTCTTCCATTAATTATTTATAAAGATGTTCATACAATTCTAGAACTATTAGCTAAAGGGCTACCTGGTGCAGTTATAAGCTTTACTAATACTGAGTATATGTGAGAAAGTCTCTTTTAAATGTACATTGAACATTTTATTAAATCAATTCCATCTACTTGTCCAGTCTTATTAATCCTTGATGGCCACAAGAACCATATAAACTATACAAGTATTAAGTTTTGTCATGAGAATGAGATTTTACTTTATGCTCTTTCTCTACATATAACTTATATTCTTCAAGCATCTGAGTTTTCTTTTGCCAAACTCAAGATGGAGTATAATAACAGTTATGAGAAACTACATCATACTAAGAGAGAAGTAGCAACTAAGTATATATTCACTAAGATTTTTGAGCTAGCATTTACTGCAACTTATACTCTTAAAACAATTATTAATGCTTTCAGTTTTACAGAAACTTGGTCTTTAAATTCTAATGCCATTAGTTCTAACTATCTTGACTTCTTTTTAGTAATCTTTTGCTTTTATCTCATCAAATCATTCAGCCAACTAGAGAACCATGCTTTAATCCTAACTCTAAATCATCTTCAACATTTGCATTCTCCTTCTCTAACCCTAACTTTAAGCCATCTTCAACATTTATGTTCTTCTCCTCTTCTCAACCTTCTTATAAATACTTTACTAGAACCAGTATTTTCAAAGATATAGAGATACTGAAAGTAGATGTTATGTCACTTGAAAAAGAAGTTGATCTGTTAAAAAAAGAAAATAAAAAAACTAAAAAAAATTATAAATTAATAAGTAAAGAACTCTAGACCTTTAAAAATCCTAGTACCTATTTTTTAAAAATAGCACTTAAATATTTTATTTCTTAGCTTTCATTACAAACTAATGAACAAGAATTTTGTGAAGCTGCTGGAGTCTGAATCCTGACCTATAAGAAAAAAAAAACAATGTTTTTTGCCTGCCTTTTCACTAATAAGAATTCTTTGTATGAGTTAGAAGCTGCAAAAGAGACAGCCAAGTCTAAAGCAGAAAATATGAAAAGAAAAAAAAGAAATTGCTACCCAAAAAAAAGCAACATGTGAATTAGAAAAGGCAGCAGAAAATATGAAAAGAAAAAAAAGAAATTGCTACCCAAAAAAAAGCTACATGTGAATTAGAAAAGGCAAAAAAAAAAGCCAAAATGGAGCATAAAAAAAAAGAAAAAATACAAAAAAAAATACTAAAGAAAAAAATAAAGCAAACTAAGTTCTTTTCTTTTAAATAGTTGTACATATATGTAAATAGTTGTTTAATAAAATTATTAATAAAAAAATAATCAACATTAATATATAAAGTATCTAATTAACATTAATATTAATAATTATTATGTTTATCAAAATATCTGCAGAGAAGTTAAAAATTATTGCTACATAGAAATTATTATATAATCTCTATAAAACTTAAATTTTTTGTTTTCTATATTGTAAAGCAGATTCAAATACATATATTTCAAAAAACAAAAGCAAAGTTTTAAGTTTTTTGGCAAACTTTTATTAGTAAGAAATGTTAACTTTATTAAATACTTGCATTTACTTTATATTAGGAAGTTTAATATTAGAGAAGTGAATAGAAGCTTTGTAATATTAAGAATATTATTAATAGCATGTTTAGGATGTATAGAAAGTGTTTTACATCTTTTTTCTGTAGCTTGTTGGATTTGTTGTTAAAGTAAAAGAAAGTTTTCAAGATAGTGAGTATAGTAAAGTTATTTACAAATATCTTATGTATATTAGATCTATTGATTGAATTGTAAATATTGATAAAGGATAAGAGTATAAATATTATACTAAGATTTTGAATTAATATTTTGAATACTTGAATTAATCTGATTGATATTAAGATTGTTATTAGAAGAAGTATAGTGACTTAGTAAAGTGGATAAGTTAACAATCTTCCAAGTAGTAGATTGTAAGTTCAAAACCTACTAACAGCAAAAATTTGAATAATTACCTATATAATATATAGACAGTATTATAATAATGGCATTCTGTTAATTAGTTGGAATAAGATACTTGTAACTACAATTATACTAGTATAACTGGTAGGTTATGAGGCATTTGTGCAATGTAAAAGTTATATATAGAAATGCAAACTATCAATAGGCAGTGCAAACTTAAGATAAGTTCTTGTGACTATATAAATTTGTAAAACTAAGAAGCCTGAGCCTACTTGAGAAAACTTGAGTAAAAAAATAGCACAAATCTTTGACAGTATTACTATAAAGGCTAAACCTAGGAAATGGATATCAATATAGAAGGAATTGGATAGACAAGAACCTTAAGTGAGTGGTACCACCAATCAGGCTATTAGAAGTCTCAAATCAGAGAAAAAAAGACCTTAGAGGCAGATTCTAAAGTACTAGGAACAGGTCATAGTCCTTCTAGACTATCTGAATTGAAAGTCTAAGGACAGAAGCAAAGATATACTATAAGTATTAGAAATATGCTATAAAGTTAGTACTGGGGTCTGAGTAAACTCTGCAAGGGCAAGCTTTGTTAACAAGAATTAAATATAGATAGTTAGTTAGCAGGAGAACCTCTGAAGCCTTACAGTTAGGTAACATACTTTAAAATATATAATAGCTTGATAAATGTACAGAAAGGAAGATCAAGATTAGGTTAGACAGCACTTAGATGTACAAAAACTTGTGTGCTATCTGTTGGTGTAAATATAGAGATCAGAGTGTTTAAATAATCTCCTAGTAGGTTGCAGATATGGCAGCTAGTGTAAAACCTAATATGCAGGCAGACTACTTAATTAGATAACCAAAAGTTATATATGTGACTAGTTGTATACTCATCTTGTACAATTTATATAATCATAATTAAAATACAATAAAGATAATAGCTGCTAATAACTATAGCTTTAAAAAAAAAAAAATTGTTATTAGAATTTTTTATAATTTTGATTAAGTGCCTAAATTTTTTAAATGATAAATAAAATAAGATGCTATGAGAAAATTATTAATAACTATAGCTATGTTTGTATGATTTTTTGTTAAGAATGGAATATATTGCAATATTAATAATTAAGTATTCGATTTTGTATTAAGTGGTTTTGATACTCTTATTTGTATTATAGTTAAGTAAAGTATTGTATATTTTGAAATTAGAGAAAAAAAGATTAGAAAATTTTGTTTAACTTTTCAATAATATAGCTTTGTAGTTAAAAATTTTATAACTAATACTAGTATAATAGCATAGTAGTTTATTATTTGTATTAGTAAAAATTTATAAAGAAAAAAGAATAAAATAGTTACTTAATATAAAAGTATTACTGTTATTAAGACTATATGAAAGAAAAAACTGTATATTAAATAAGTTAGTCCAAATGTAGTCAATACAACTTTGACTAGTATTGTTTAACTATATGTAGTGTTTGTTGTTAACATGTACTCCAAGATTATATATGTTAGATTAGTATAGATAGTTAATAAGTTAAAATTTGAATGAAGAGCTACAAATGTTATTATGCATATTAAAGTCTCCAAGAATAATTAAATAAAAATTTAATTAGTAGACTTGTTAAATCCATGTAATTACTATGTTTTGTGCTTTATTATATTTTTGCATATTAGTAAAAAAAAATAAACTACTATAATACAGAGTTTAATATCATTTTTGAAAAAAAATCTAAAGTGATAGCTTTATTAAAATGTGTTTGACAATTATATATATAAAATTAGAGTTGATTATGAATTATAATAGCAGTGCTTTCTGCTAGTTTTTAGAGTTGGTCCAGAAATAAGTAAAAAGATTGTTATTGCAAAACTAAAGATTAGTTTTGCTGACAATTTTTGTTTTAGTAATACATATAATATTGATGTTGTTATAAAGACAGTTTTGGATATAGTGACCTAGTGAAGTGGTTAGATTGTTAACTCTCTAAGTGGTAGGTTGGATGTTCAAATCCTATTAACAGCAAAAATTTGGATAATTACCTATATAATATTTGTATTATAGCAACTGTTACTAATGATTAGATTAGAATATCTGTAATAGCAGTCACACTAGCATGACTGATAGGTTATAGGGCATTTATGTAACAGTTATATGATATTGTCCTTTAAGACAAGGTCTGTAGTTATACAAAGAAATGCAAATCAGCAATCAGGTAGTGCAAACACTAGATAAGTCCTTGTGGCCATATAAATCTGTTAAAATTAGGTAACAAGAAGTCTATTTAGGAAGATCTGAATAAAAAGATAGCTGGATCTTTGATGGCCCTACTGTAAAGCCTAGCTTAGGAAAACAAATACCAAGATCGTAATACCCAATTGTAGTAACTGAATGGGCAAAAATCTCTGTGTTGGAAGTTTCAGAAGTACTACCAATTAGGCTGCTAGAATGAACCAGAAAAAAAGGATATCAGGCCAACCTAATAAACTAATAAACTGGTTGTAGTCCTACACAGACTATCTGGATTGGAAGTTTGATAAAAAGGCAGATAAAAAGGCAGGAGTATACTAAAGTATCAGGGTTATGCTGTGAAGTAAATGCAAAGGTCTAAGTAAACTCTACAAGAGTATAGTGGTTTAATGGTTAAGTTCTAACTACAAGTGTTGGTTCTGTCATAGCAATATCTAAATCAGTTGTAAAAATAGGTACAGAAGGCTCTAGGAGGTTTACCTCAAGAATAAAATAGTCCTAAGGTTGAGATGATGATCTGGGCATTAGGTATGATTCAGTGAAGTTAACAGGTTTGCAGATTTAAAGAGTTTAAAGTGAAATACCCAAGCAGGAGTATTAAGTACAGCAATTGATAAAAAATCTTCAGGCAAACTCCTTAAATAGATAATATAGAAAAATTATATGTATAGCCAATTGTATGCTTTTTCTGTAATAATTCACTGAATTATATTTATTATTGCTAAATAAAGTCAAAAGACTCAAGAAGTTACTTTAACACTAAAAAAAAAAAAAACAGTAGTTTTGCTAAGCTTTCTTTTGGTTATTGTATTAAAGTTTTAAATATTATATATAGCAATATTTAAATAAAAGTTACATAAGTTTTAATTATAAAATTTAAAAAGAAGATAAAAGAGAATAATAATATGATTAAATAAAAGTAAGTCATTAAAAAGATATATATAGGTTTTACTAAAGTAGGATTAACTAAGAATATAATACTAGAGGATGCAAATCATTAACTCTTTCTGACAATCACTTGTACTAAAATTCTCTGATAATAAACTAGCAATAACTAAATAATTTATTAAGTAAACCTTCTCTGGCCTCCTAAATAAAACTGTTCACAATTAAATTTTACATATAGGTGGCCTAGTTTTATATCTCTCAGACCTTTGTACAGTGAGTATATTTATTAAACTTCAAAATACTTTTTCTAAATTTTTTTAATAATTTACTAAACTACCCTTAGTTGCTATCTTAAACAAAAAGACAGAGCTCACTTAGAGCTTCATTTTGATATATTATACATTAATATTGGAT